TTTTTCTTGTCTTTTTTTCTCAAGATTTCCTCATGGTTTTCTTTTTCGTTATACAAGAAAAAACGAGAAAAAAGACAAGAAAGAGGGAAAAATTGAGAAAGCAATGAAAATTTAAAATGGAAAATAGGACAACAATTTAGCATTTTTTTGGTTATTCATAAATTATGTTTTACTTTCTTTTTCTTTTTTTTTTTTTTGCTTTTTCATCTTCGACTTTTTTTTCGCTGTATCAAATCTGTGGTTGTTTTATTGCTACTGTATTGTTACCCTAATGTTCTGCTTTTTTTTTTGGTTGGTGGGAGGGTGGGGGGAAGGAGGAGGGATAAGGGAAGAGTGGGTGGGGTGGAATAAGGAGGTTGAGATTTTGATGATTTTGGTATTTCGTCGTCTGTTAGTTTTGTTAGCGACCGATCTTACTACTCGTTTATTTTATTGCAAGTTTCTTTAAACAATGGGTTGAAAGAAGAAAGCTACAAATTAGTTGTTACCAAATTGTAGCTTTGTTTGTCAGGCAACTAGAAAATTGTTGATTAGCAAAAAGTAAAACTTGTTTTGACAAGGTTGAAGAAAAAAAATTGAGAAAAAAACGGTTTTTTTTTGCTTGCAGCTTTCAGTTAGATTCTTTTATGAACAACAGTTAGTTGGTTGTTGCTTGGATAAGATAGTTTGGTTAGTTTCTAAAATGAGAAGCTGTTTATGGATTAAAGGTGAAATTGAGATGTGTGCACGACTGTTGTTTTCGAAAGCTGACCGCAGTTGAACTGTTAACCAATTTGTATATTTTTCATATCTTCCTGCTCTCTTTTTTTTTTCTGTTTTTCGTAATTCACAATAAATTTTATGTAATTTTATTTGACTTTTTTCTTTTTTTGCTTTTTATTTTTTTTATTTATTTATTTATTTTTTTTGTTAGTATAATTATTTGTCAGTGCTTTTTTTTTTTTTTTTGTTGATTATTTGGTCGTAACGGCAAATGAGATATTTGTATAATTATTGTTTAGTTGACTTCTTTGCATTTAAAAACCACCAAGAAAGAAATTCTAAAAATAAAAAAAAAAAAAATTGCTTCGTGAAAGGTTATACAATGTTTCTGTTTTTTTTCTTTTCTTTTTTTTTGAATGAAAAAAAAAATGAATCTTTTTTTTTTTTGGTCTAAATTGTTTTTACCAAAGACTTTTGTTCAGGATTTTTTTGGCACTTTTTTTTTTTTTTTTCCAAATTGTGCACAGTAATTTTTCTGTATAATTTTTGAAAATTCAACTTTTATAACTTTCACATTTTTTTTTTCAGATTTTTTATCAACTTATAAAATAGTTTTTTTTTTTTTGTTTCAATGTTGCTGTTGCTGTCATTGTAATTTTTTGTTTAGCTATTAAATTGAAGTTGAAAATTTTTTAAACTATCCGCTTACAGCTTCCAAGGCAGATTTGATTGTAATGTGTTGAATAGTTTACAGAAAATATTGAGATTTAATTGATTCAATGTTGTTATTGGTGTTAGCAATGATAAAAAAAACTGATGGTGATGGTGATGGGATGGTGTTATTGTTGACGGTGGTGGTGGTGGTGGTG